CCTAAGATTACAGATGCCCAAAACCCAACTGATCAGCAAGAGACAGTTACTATAACACAGGTATAATTTCCAAAATTTGTCATCTGTGAGAATTGAACCTTAGACCTGCTACTTGAGGGTTGACAACCTATCCTTACTAGGTCACCACACCCTAATTACCAAGATTTGATATAATGTAATATGATCAAAAAGATTTAAAAAATATATTTGCTTTGTCAAAAATCAGCATAACTTAAAAATTAGTATAAGAAATTACCTTCTATGCTTTAGTTAAATTTTTTTGTTAAACAATCTTACTACTATTTTTTTTTTATCTAATTCTTAACTTTAACTTTAATCATATCAAATTTTAAGAATTTTGTTTGTACTACATACCTAGTACATATTTTTAAATGCATTATTTTATATTAACATATAATTTATACTTATAGTAATTTAGATTATCATGCTTATACATTTATCTTGTTTAATTTCACAAAAAAATAATCTTATTAGCATTATTAATAATAATGAATTTTGGATAAATTTTGAATTATTTCATACATTATTAAAACTATATAATTATGTTATAAAAATTCTTGAAACTGAACCGGCTATATTGGATCAAGTGGCTGCATCATAGGTCTGGCTTTATAAAACTATTTGTAAAAGCTTACTTACTAATAATGATTTTCAAAACTCATTAATTCTTGAAATTAATAATCATTAGAAAATAATTTATAATCTGGTTTATTTAATTACATGATTTTTTTATTCATATTATTATAATGAAGGACTAAATCTGATATGAGTTTTATATATTCAAGAAACTGCATATGGCTGGTTTTGTTCTTTTTATCCAGATCATAATTAGGATAAATTTATCAATGAATGATTAAATTATGCAAGTCAAGAAAGTCAATTTTTAGCATTATAAATTTAAAGTTCAGACTTTAAAGATTTCTACTATAATACTAGTGTATTATACTTCACATAGTACCAAATTTAAGTGAATTTGCCTGTTATCTTTTGTTAATTTTACCTAATATTGCAATTTTTAAACAGATATAGTTCTTATTAGATAATATATATACAGAACATCATAATCAATTATTACTATCATAGGCTGCAAAAATAACACAAGTATTATGATATATAAATCAAAAATCTAATCCTATTAAAAAAAAAAATCAAAATTTCAAAAAACTTGCATTAAATAATAATAATAATAATAATAAAAATGATAGTGATAATGAAAATAAAAATGATAATGTAGATAAATTTATGACTAATTTAAATCAAATATCTGGTAAATTAATAGATGATATTTATATATATGTTTTAAATAGTGAAGAAACTATTCCAATATTCAAAGATATTTTTAATTCAAAAAGTATTAAAAAATTATTAAATTTTTACATTTAACAATCAAATGTATAGATTATAGTTTAAATTCAAATCTGAGTAGTTATAAGTTTACTTTAACTATATTAATAAACATAAATATTGGCCATCAATAAATTTATAAAATTAAAGGTGTGGCAACCTAGTGAAGTGGTCAGGTTGTCAACTCTCCAAGTGGTAGATTGGGTGTTCAAATCCCATTGACAGTGAAAATTTGAATAATCACCTATATAATATTCATATTACAGCAACTATTACTAATAATTGGGTTAGAATATCTGTAATAGCAGTTGTACCAGCATAACTGGCAGGTTATAGGGCATCTGTGTAAGTATGGTGTTATATAGAAGAATGCAAACCAACAAATCGGGTAGTGCAAACACTAGAAAAGTCCTTGTGGCCATATAAATCTGTTGAAATTAGGTAACAAGAAGTCTATTTGAAAAGACCTAAGTAGAGAAGTAGCTGAATCTTCGATGGCTCTACTGTAAAGGCTAGTTTGAGAAAATAGATACCAAGGTCATAGTACCCAGTCATAGTAGCCAGGTGGGCAAGAACCTTTGAGTTGAGAAGTCTCGAGCATATTACCAACCAGGCCATCAGAATGAATCAGAGGAAAAGGATATCAGGTTAACCCGATATACTGATGGACTGATTATAGTCTTACACAGGCTATCTGGATTGGAAGTTTGGTAAAAAGACAGGTGAAAAGGCTGGGGTATACTAAAGTACTGGAGTTATGCTGTGAAGTAGATGCTGGAGTCTAAGTAAACTCTATAAGGACATAGTAGTTTAATAGTCAGCTCTGACCACAAGTGTTGATTCTGCTATAGTAATACCTAAATCAGTTATAAAAATAGGTACAAAAGGCTCTGGAGGGTTTACCTCGAGGATAAATTAGTCCTAAGGTTGAGATAATGATCTGGGCATCTGGGTATGACTCAGTGAGTTAACACAGATTACAGATTCAGAAAGTTTAAAGTAGAACATCCAAGCAGAGATGTTAAGTATGGCAATTGATAAGGAACCTTTAGGTAAATTCCTTAAATAGGTAATATAGAAAAGTTATATGTGTAACCAATTGTATTCTCTCCTGTAGTGGTTCATTGAATCACAATACTGATAAGTGATTAATAAAAGTCAAAAAACTAAAGAGGTCACCTTAATATCAAAAAAAAAAAAAAAATTTATAAAATTTTACAAGTTTATTTTTATTAAGGTTATGTTTTGATAAATTCATTTTATTAAAAAAAAAAAATTGTAATAATAAAATTTTACTAGTCTATAATTTTAGACATCTTACTTTTAATAAAATTTAATTTGAGCAATGTTGTGAAAAAATATTGCATATAAGTATTAACAACTTTTATATATTCAGCACAAATTAGCTTCACTTTATATTAATCTAGTACAAATTAGCTGTGCTATATATTATTAAGTAGTTTTTTTTTTGTTTTTTTTTAATTTTAAGCAGTTACACTAGTACTTTATTAAGATTCTTGAAACTATATGTTTATACATTTTATAGAATTTCCTAATATCTAAGTCTAGTATCACTTAGTCACTTTAATAGTACCTAAGTGCAACCTGTCACACTATCTTAGTTAAAGATAAACTGCTCATCTAACTACTTAAAGTCATACTAAAAGAATCTTCTTCCTTCTGTGACAAGCATATTTATTGTCTTCAAAGCTTCTTTTTTCATTTGTTTTTCCTTTTCTGCTTTTCTTTCTTTTTCTTCTTCTTTTGCTTATTTATCTTTTTTTACCCTCTTCTTTGTTTTCTTTCTTGCATAAGCACCTTTTTTCATTTTGTTTATTATATTGATTTTCTTCTTCCAGGCTTGTATTTTTTCACATCATATCCTTCATACTTGGTCATAAAAGGTGTTCCATACTGTTCTTGTTACTATATCTATGCACTTCTGTATTGCCTGCTGGCTTAATAGTCACTCAAGTCTTTTTTTTACTTTTAACATCATGAGTTCCTTTATTAGCACTTTTCTGTTTGTGATTTCTTTAGCTTCTATTTCTTCAAATAATGCTTTATATAAAACTTATAGTAGAATTCTGTTTTTTTCATCTTTCTTGAGTCTATTCCATGCTGTTGCTGTTGCAACTTTTTGGATTTGCTTCTACAAACTCTTTTGTCTACTACAACTTGCTAAATATGCCTGAGTCTCTTTTTCTCCAACTTGGTATACTTAGCATTCTGCTGTTGTGTACACTTCTGGTTTTCTTCTGTTTAGTTTCTCAAATGTTAGTAGACTATTTATTATATACTTAATTGCTATAACTCTTCTTGTACTGAGTTTTCTTGATGTACAATAAACTCCTTTTGTTCTGTTCATTTTTTTACAAAACTTAACCAATTATGTAGTGTATTTTCTGTTTTTGGTTCTATTGGATTTGTTTCTCTTCAAATGGCTTCTATTCTGGCATTTGCTATTATTTTATACAGAAGTCTTGCCAGTATGTCAATTTTCTTGTTTTTCTACTCTAAATAGTACTCTATTTTATCACATTTAACTTTATTTGCATATATTTTATTTTGGCAATTTGTTTTTTTTTTTGCAAGAGAGTCTGCTCTGTCATTCCACTTATTTTCACTATAACTTTTAACTTTAGTTATTTTTATCTTAATGTTCTTGCTCTTGATTAGACCTACAATGCTCATTATTCACATTGTGTTTTTTTTTTTCAGGATTTTTTTCTCTTCTACATTTTGAAGTACTCCATTAATATTTCTTAATGCTATGATGCTATCTGTAAACACTTCTACACTTTTCTCTTCTGGCATCATTAGGATTGCTGTCCAAATTGTTGCTAATTCTGTAATTGTTTCTGAGGACCAACCTTTAAGTTTCAATGTAGTTTTTTTTTTTGGCCAATCTTCTTCCTCCTTTACTTGTATTCAACTGATGCTTATTTTTTCTGTACTGTTTTCTTCCTTCTTTTTGTATAATGCTCTATCAGTATAAAAACTATATTTTTTCTTGTCTCTTTTTTTGCTTCGTGTCAATATCTCTACTAACTAATTTGTAATCATGTTATTTAATTCTTGTTTTCTAATCAGTTCTATTTCTAATTCTTCTATTTGTCTTATTCCTAGTAGCTTTATTTTATTTTTTTTTCATTTATTTATTATTCTATTTTCTAAAATCTGCTCTAATGTTGTATTTATTCTATTGTTAGCTTTTTCTATTAGCAACTCTGGTATAATTCTTATGTTATGGTCTCATCTTATCCATCTTTCACATTTATCTGTCACCTGTTCTGAACTGTTTTCACAATTTTTACATATACTTAATTCTGTTACCATTCTCTCTTCTTCTATATATATTGACCAATGTTCTGCTAGCACTTTTTTTTTTTTTCTTAATTATTTTGCCTAATTGCTAGTTGTATTTTAGTCTACGGATAATCCATTCTTTTTTCTTTCAGTCTTCAGACATCTTTTTCTACTTAATTTTTAATACTTATGTATTATAACTTCTTACTTTGTAGTGATCTTGTATTTCTCTACTCATTTGTATTCTCATCATCTTTTTTTCTATTTTACTAAATTATTTAGCTTTTTTTTCTTTACATAACAAACCTTGAAGACTCTTAAGCTGTTTTTATATGATCAGGTTGTCACCTTTGTATCTACAAGTTGGTTCAGATATACTAACCCCTATTTATTTATTGTGCTGCTGCTTGCTATCCATGTTTTTGTTTTCAACATATTTCTTATCTGTTTACCATGTCTGTAAACTTTTTATAAAGGTTTTTCTAATTTAATGTTTCTTTTGCTTTAGCTATTATTCGACAAGCTAAGTTGTTTTTTCAAAACTTCTTGACTTTTATTTTCTTTTTATTGTCCCAAATGTTATCTGTTAGGCCTGCTTTCTAACATTCTTGAGCTATTCTAAGTCTTGTTAATTCACTCATACTATCTTGTCTGTTGAGTCTTGAAAAAAGACTGCTTATTTGCTTTATCATTATTTCTTGGCTTAGTGTTTTGCAATTTTCTAGATTTTTGTATTCAATTGTGCAATCATTTGATATTCTTATCATATTGCATTTATGCTTAGCTAAGCATATTAGTAGTTGATATATTTTGTTAATCATTCTCTTTAGTATTTTTGTTAGCTATAAGAGATATTCTAGCTTAGGAATTATTACTGTATTGTTTATATATGCTATTTGGCTCATTATCATCTTTTTGTATCACAGATCTTTAACTGTTTGGCTAACT